AATTAAATTATATTTTAAAAGCAGCAAATCGAAACGGAAAAAGTCCTCTTTCATGAAAGTTCACCACGCTCATTTCTATAGCCACGATTGGCGAGATTCATTCCCTGGAAATCGGGAGGGGTAATATACAATCAAGGATTTTTTTTCACCAGCAAAAAACATGTGCGTATATTTTTTGTTACGCACGCACGAATATCAATATGCAATGAATTTTCCTTTTCAGACAAGACTACAGTGCACTTTAAAATCACTTCTCGTGATTAGAACATACGTGGAAACTTACGTCATATTGCATAGCGTGACGTGAGACACGAGAGTGTATTGACCATTTTTACGTGCTTGTTTTATAAAAATAACTTTTTTCTCTAAAACGTGCGACTCTCTGAATGAATTGCACGTCTGAGGTAACATTAATGACGAAATAAGTGTCTGATTGCCTTGGAATGCTAAAGTGCGATTCACCGAAAAATGAGTGTTGGATTTTTCGCACAGTCCAACAATAAGCAGTGGCGCAAAGAGGTTTACGCAGAGAGATTGGAGACGTCATCAGAACTGAAGCTTCGACAAACATTCGGTACTTACCTCTTTCCCCTGTTTCAATTTTGGAACGAAACTATGGGGTCAGTGGGATTTAAAATCCATAATCAGCAGAATGGAAGTTTTTTAAAACTTTTGCAAAATCATCATGGCCTAGAACTTCACGATAGCGATAAAAATATTTCTTACACACAGAGTTTGCCCCCCCCCTCCCATCACAGCATGAACATTTTTTTTTGCTACTAGCAGTCAACCCGCGCTTCGCGCGGCGATATTGCAGGAAACAAATCGGAATATCTCATAATATATGCGTATAACTTTTAATTCACTGATTTTATTTGGATCGCTGGAAAATTAATGCATACTTCTATAATTTAGGACTGAGTCAGGGAAATATAAGGTTCGTTAAAAAGTAACCATCCCTAGTACCGTGTGACACTATTGTTAACGAAAAGTTTTTGTAACTTGTCAAAGAGGTTTTTGAATGATCTTCGAATAACTTTTGATGAGCTAGATGTAATGGTTGTATCGCAGCTCTTGCACTTCTGTTCGATATTGTCAAGAATCATCTGAATTTTAAAAAAGTGACCGCTTGTTGGATACCCAATATGCTCATTCATGCATACAAGTAGAAGCGCATGAAAGCTTTAGCAGACATTTTGGAGATGAACCAAGAATTAGATGAAGAATTTATGACTTAAATCACGGCACCTTAATTACGGGATGACCTTAATTATGGCAACTATGTATTGTCCATGAGATGCAGATGGACCCATTTCCTTAGCTCATCAAAAGTTATTCGAAGATCAATTTTATCAGCCACCCGTGCTCAGGCTCAGGTGAAGGCAGACGCTCCGGTGAAGGCAGACAATCGCTGGGGACAGGATCGCCGTAACGCTCTGGCTGTCGAACTACACGTCCAGCGCGAGTCATCACTTCATCGCTCGCATTCTCGCTGTTTTCAGCATTTACTCCCCCCTCCCCAGGGAATGTCTCGGCTTCGCCGTAGGCTGCCGGCAAGTCATCATTATTCTCAAATATAGAACTCTCTACATACTCAGAGTCTCTAGAATCACCCATATCCTTATATTTATTTGTAAATATGACATCACGACTTAAAATTATCTTTTGGCGCTGTAGACACCAAAGCCTATACGCATGTGGGGCGTAACCAACGAAGATGTATTCTCTGGCTCTTTCATCCAACTTTTTTAGGTAATGCAGATTTTTGGCATATGCCAGACTTCCAAAAAGTTGTAAATACTTAAAATTCGGGGTCTTTTTCGTCCATGCCTCGAACGGCGTTATATTCATACCTGTTTTTGGGCTGCGATTTAGTAAATATGCAGCGGTGTACGCTGCCTCTCCCCAAAAACTTTTATTCAGTCCACTATCAAATAGTAGAGCTCTAATTTTCTCACCGATTGTCTTGTTCAATCTCTCGCTTACCGCATTCATTTGAGGAGTGTGCGGTGTTGTCCAATCTATTTTTATTCCTCTCATTTTACACCAATTGATCACGGGTTCGTTTTTGTACTCTCCCCCATTGTCACATCTTAGCATGGCGATCTTTTCTTCATGTTGTGTCTCTACCTCCATGACATATTCTTTTAGAGCTTCGAATACTTCATCTTTGGTTCGTAATAAGTATAACATCACAAAACCTGTGTACCCATCTGTAAAACTTACATAATAATTTTTGCCATCCCATGTGGGTGGGCTAATTTTGGAGACATCTGAATGAATTATTTCCAGAATTCTCTCTGCCTTTTGTCTACCTTCCCCGAAGGGAGTACGCGTTTGCTTAGATCTAATACACACATCACAATGCATCATGTCATCGCTCATAACATCACTTTTAGAAATATTCATGCCTTCAGCCATATTTATTAGTTTTGTCAAACCAGTATTACCGATATGCCCTAGTTTTCTATGCCATTCTTTAGCTAATTCCATTTTGTCTTTATTTTTCTTACATTCATCAGCTAGAAAAGCCGTGTTATTCTGAAATCTTATTGGTCTCACCGCGGCAACAAATATTCCTGCATCATTTTTGATACCATGCAAAATATAATCTCCATCCTTTTTTATTATGGCTTTATTTTTCATAAATGTTACTTCCCCACCATTTCTTGTTATGGCACTAATTGAAACCAAATTCTTTGCCAGCTCCGGGACATAGTAAACTTCAGTCAACTCAAAATTTTTGAAAAATTATTTTTCCCACTCCGGTAGCCAACATAGTGAGTTTTTGCTTAGCAATACAAATTTTTACATTACATTGGGTTAATTCAACGAAACAATTCTTATTTGAGCACATATGTGAGGAAGCGCCACTATCAATTATCCACATGTCAGTTGTTGTCTCATAATCAAAAAAATCCTCACTCCCCAGAAATGCTACGGGCTTTTTCTTGTCGTCATCCTTCCAAGTTTCACCCTTTTTCCTATCACTCCCTTTTCCTTTTCTATAACACTGTTCGTTTGTATGATTTCCCATTTTGCAACTCGAACACCACATCTCTTTGTGTCCTCCATCTCTTTGCGAGTTTTCTCCTCTTTTTTGTTTCCTGCAAAAGCGAGTTTCATGGCCTGGAATTTTACAATATTCACAGAAGTTTCTAGTTTTACCTCCTTGTTTTGAATTCCATTTATTCCTGCAAAATGGGAAAGAGCGCAGTGGAAGCGTGCTGGGCCCATAACCTGTCGGAATTCATGAAGGTAAATATTTTTGTGAGAGGAGTGAGAACACACGGGGAGTTGCGCTTGGACCAATCCGTATCGTTTTATTTAAAAAGGAAATGAAGCTCGGTGCAGTTGCAGATTGCAACGGATGCACATTCTACTGAACTGCGTCGCCATTAATACATAGTTGTCTGGTTTACACTTAATTCTAAATATCCAACAGGCTTCCTCCTTAGGAATAAAATTTAGTTTGCTGAACGATAGAAGACATTTTAATCATGTGCAAACACTTGAAAATATAAAAATCTTTCTTGATAAGAGAAGTCTAGGACGTAAAACCTCATAACTAGAAAAGGAAAAACACTCTATGCACTCTTTGGAGACTTTTTATCTGTTTCAATGGAGAATTTTCACGCAAATTTGTTATTGCCGCATCTGAGAGTGCTTAAAGAGCTGATTTTGCAGTACTTTTTCTCAATTTTGCTCTGGCATGGGAAATAGTATCAAAATAGAGTTAAAAGTGAAAAAATGCACCGCCTAGTGACGTCATCTGGCGGCACTTCCCATTTAAACACATGTATTTTAGTTGATCAGATAATTTTGTCACAACTCCTTCTGTAATTGTTCAATTTATGAACCAAGGGTATCCTCGTGTTCAGTTCACTCGCGGTGGTTTCCACTAAAACGCGGAATTCATCAAATTTTAAACACTTGCAAATTCTCCATTCAATACTGCAGATATGCATTTTGCGATGGATGATGTAGACATTCATTTCGCCAGGTTTGATCAATCTGACACACAATTAACAGTCACTCCTACAACGTACCCTGGCGTTTTGCGACACCCAAACGCCACATGAGCCTATCTTTTTGAGGGTTATCGGACACGTGACAATGCAACATCTCTCCCTCAACGTCCTGCCGCCACTCCTTCATGGGACGCCCCTCAGGTACGTACTCCACCCGAAACTTGTTCGGGCAATCTCACCTCCGGCATTCTTTGTAGATGTCCATACCGCACCGACTGCATAACATGACGTCGTGCACGATTCTCTCGTTGCAGAGTGGACTGAGTGAATCGGAGAGGTCGGACGTAAAATTTTTCACTAAAACTGCAAATCTTGATGTTTATCTCGTCACAATTTAAATTTAAAGGGGTGCTTTTGGAAGATAATTTCACGAGGAGACCAATGGAACCACTTTCAGAACCTCACAATTTTGTATAAAAGGAGTCATGAACTATTGAAGTTTCAAATTTTTGTCCGACCTCTCCTATTGTCTCGATCCACTATGCGTTGATTAGTCTAATGGGAGTGAAATAAGATTAATTGAACGCACGATTGGACCACCTGATTGCAGCCCGCGACTTTCAGGGTCTGAAATGTTGTTGGACATTTGTGGGAGGAGGGGGGGGGCTCCAAAACCTCCATTTCCACACTGAAAAAAAATTCTCGGCATCATTACGAAGGTCCGTTGGTACCTTTTCAATCTCACTTTTTTTACCAATTATTGGTAATTTTACCAAAAGAGACTAGTAAGCTTACCTAAAAACCGGTATTTTTACTGTTTTTTCCGGGTAAGAATACCACTTTTATTGGTAATCACTTCTCGGCAACTTTGCCATTTTATCTCGGTAATTCTACCACAGTCGATAAAAAATATTGGCGTTTTTACCAAGGTCCTGTCAAATTACCGAGAAAGTTCAATAATTTTACCGAGATTTCTCAGTAAAATTACCAATTCCATAAATGAGAAAGAAAAGGATTTTAGCCAAGGTGTTATGGTTATCACTGCTTTATTTATTTTATAAACATTTTAAACGCTAAAGCTTTGGCTAAAGTTTTCGCTAAATGGTGTTACTAAGCATGAACGATTTCATAAATAATTCCATAAATGGTAATTTTACCAAAAAAAAACTGGGATCAAATAGAACCCTGAATTCTTGGCAATTTTACCCTTTTCTTAGTAAATACACAGAGATTTTTTTTCAGTGCATGGTCATGTTTTTAGGGTCAAACAAAAACTAAAAGATCCTTGATTATGGATCAGATAAGAGGTTAAAATCAATGTATTTTGTACAAACCTCGAAGTAGCCCATGACACCGGGAAGCTTGGTGAACTCAGCTGCAGCACCAGGGCCGGTGGCAGCGACACCGTAGCCATGCTTGTCAGCGGCCGCAAGAACGTATGAGTTTCCAGCCAAGCTAATGCCAAGGACTTGCTTCTTGAGGGGGACGCCTTTGGTGTGCAACTGCATGATGGTGTTCACCTGAAATTTCGACATTNCTTTATATAATCAGGGAGATGTTGACCCAAATATTGATGTATATTTTCTCTGTTCGCCCAAATCAATGATGGTATTTTCTTTTTTCAATACTAGAGGGCTATGCCCCCTGACCGCTCCGCGGCCCAACCCCCTCTTGGATTCTGTTAATTAATGAAAATATCACATAATTTTTTTTATATACATCATTGTTTGTAGGGGTTGATATGTGCGATTTAATGACGCGCCTTATAAACACATTGTGTTGGAGTTCACTGCTTGTTTGAAGTTATATTCATAATAAAAAATGTTTTGTTCATAGTGACAAAATTAATTGTTTTGAAGATAATAAGTACATATTTCATTCCTCAATTTTATCAGTAGAAAATAAACAAAGTTATTGCAGAACTTCTTGATACACAATGTTCATTGCTGTGTTTTTATTTTTTTTGTCATCAAAATTAATGATTTTTATTTTTAAACCTTCTTTAGTCCTACATCTAGACAATGCTACATACAGTTGCCCGTGAGCGAACATTGGTCTTTATTTATCTATAAAAATTCCCACTCTGTCAAACGATTGCCCTTGGCTTTTACCAATAGTCATAGCAAATGCTAATCTAACGGGGAATTGTTTCCTATTCAAAACAAAAGGTAGGTTTGTTTCTTCTTTTGTGTTAAGTGTAATTTTTGGTAGTGCAACTATTTTTCCTTTATTTTCTCCTGTTAAAACTGAGCAATGCAAAATGCATTTGTTTATTTTTAAGACAATTAATCTTGTCCCATTGCACAATCCATCCTCGATACAAATGTTGCGTAGTAACAGAACCACTGCTCCTTCTTTTAACTTTAAATTTTGACTTGGCATTCCTGAAGGGTTCAATGAAACATGCGATTATCGATACATGCGATTAACAGTTTGATGTATTTGATTTGTTTGATTGTGTTTCATGATGTGTTTGTTGTGTTTGATTGTGTTTCATGATGTGTTTGTTGTGTTTGATGTGTTTGATTGTGTTTCATGATGTGTTTTCTGTGTTTCATGATGTGTTTGATTGTGTTTCATGATGTGTTTGCTGTGTTTCATGATGTGTTTGTTGTGTTTGATTGTGATTCATGATGTGTAAGGGTGCTTCATGATGTGTTTGCTGTGTTTCATGATGTGTTTGCTGTGTTTCATGATGTGTTTGTTGTGTTTGAAGTGTTTCATGATGTGTTCGATGTGTTTGCTGTGTTTCATGATGCATTTGATTATGTTTTATCCCGGTTTCTTAACATAAGTACATCCAGTTTTATCCATGACTATTGTACTGTATAGGTAAAATTACCGCATATTATCCTGGTCATTATGAAGAAATCCCGTAAATCACCTTTGATCCCAGTGAATACTCCTTTAAATCAAACGATATATCGAATATCGATACATAAAGATCGATATCCTTCCTGTTATCCCGGTTTCTTAATATAGTTACATCCCGCTTTATCCATGACTATCCTGTATAGGTAAAATCCCTCCCTTTTATCCCGGTTATTATGAAGAAATCCAGTTTTATCTCAGTCAATACTGCTTTAGAACAAACGATGTATCGAAGATCGATACACAAAGATCGATATCCTTCCTGTTATCCCGGTTTATTAATATAGGCACATCCCGTTTTTCCAGGACTATCCTGTATAGGTAATATTCCTCCCTTTTATCCCGGTTATTATGAAGAAATCCCGTTTTATCCCAGTCAATACTGCTTCAGAACAAACGATGTATCGAAGATCGATACACAAAGATCGATATCCTTCCTGTTATTCCGGTTTCTTGATATAGTTACATCCCGTTTTATCCATGACTATCCTGTATAGGTAAAATCCCTCCCTTTTATCCCGGTTATTATGAAGAAATCCCGTTTTATCCCAGTCAATACTGTTTTAGAACAAACGATGTATCGAAGAACGATACACAAAGATCGATATTCGTCCTGTTATCCCGGTTTATTAATATAGGTACATCCCGTTCTTCCAGGACTATCCTGTACAGGTAATATTCCTCCCTTTTATCCTGGTTAATTAGAAGAAATACATCCCATTTTTATACGTGTCTACCTATCATTAATTCCTTTAACGATAACGATAACGATTAACGATATATCGAATATCGATATATAAAGATCGATATCCTTCCTGTTATCCCGGTTTCTTAATGTAGTTACATCCCGCTTTATCCATGACGATCCTGTATAGGTAAAATCCCTCCCTTTTATCCCGGTTATTATGAAGAAATCCCGTTTTATCCCAGTCAATACTGCTTTAGAACAAACGATGTATCGAATATCGATATATAAAGATCGATATCCTTCCTGTTATCCCGGTTTATTAATATAGGTACATCCCGTTTTTCTAGGACTATCCTGTATAGGTAATAATCCTCCCTTTTATCCTGGTTATTAGAAGAAATACATCCCATTTTTATACCTGTCTACCTATCAATAATTCCTTTACGGAAGAATACATTTAAATTTCCCGGGGATTTTCAATGACGTTTTCTGATTGGTTAATGAAAGACCAATGAGAATGCGAAATGACACGGACGTACACACAAAAAAGGCCTTATTTTTTTTTACTATAGTAAGATAAGATAATACCAATCGATTTAGAAGTTGCCGTGGGGCTCAGTTTCCAAAAGTTGCGAGAAAAAGGATCTTATCGTCAACGAACGTAGGAACGTAACTTCATTCCTGGGTTGCAAAATTGACTCAAATAATTGAATATTTCGCAAAAATGTACGAGTGCAGTTTTTGTCCGAAATGTTCCTGACTTTTACGTGAGATCGGAAGGAAAATCAGGGAAATTTCTAGGCAGAAATACCTGTAAGATTTGCCTATTCAAAGTGCAATTTGATAGCGGAAATTACCAACATCGAAATGCACTTACCCAAGGAGCAGTGATCGCGGTGAGTTGCTATTTGATCGGGAAATGTATCGCGAATTTATCGACGTCGACTTATTGCAATATTGTCGGATGAAAATTGCGATAAAATGCGATTTCAGCACAAAAATTTTCAATAAAATCGCGATTTTATCGACGGCGATGTATTGCAATGTTATCGAACACAAAATCGTGATTATACCTGATCCTTCGGCAATCTAGTAGCCAGACATTTAGATAAATGTTTTGAGGAGATCTGGATTCCTCTCAATATATGCTGTAGCGTTTTCATAAAGGACATAAGTTTTTTAACTTCATTTTTGCATTGAAACTATATATCATTTAAGAATCAAGGTGATGATTTCTTTCTGACTCTAAAAGTGTTGAGGCTCATCTGGTGTAGATAAATTCTGAGAAATGCAGGTAATAAAATATCACATATACTTACGACGCTGGGTTCAGTCGTGGTGTTGACATTGTAGAATTGGGTTTCGAAAACTTTCGAATATCCTTGGTTGTATTTGTATCCTTCCACGAGCACAAAATCTAAGTATTTCGTCAAAACTTGAACGTTGTACGCTAGAATGTAAAGATGAGTGAATTTGTTAAAGCACTCCAAAATGTTTAGCTGTTAGCTAAAAGCTTGAGACTCAGGTAAATGACCATTAAACCATGGACGCTAGACAGGTCCATCATAAACTATTTTATTCTTCTCGCTGCTTTCCGATGCTCAACATTCTTTTAAAGAAAGATAATGCATGAAATGCTCACATAAATTAGTTTAAAGTTCTGTTAGTGCTAATTTTTTAGTGTGAAGTTGGATGCGGAGACATTTTGTATGATGCACTACTGACAGCGAATTTCGCATTGCTACAAAGTCAACACTGAAAAAAGTGCCTTGTCCGAGAAACAAGGATTTTAGTCTCCCAGACAAGACCGTCTTGTTATATTTGATCCACAAGGTATTCTAGTTCATGGGACCCATACAGCCTTGTTCAGGGAACAAGACTTCCTTGTTGCATAAGTCAGAAGTCTAGTCACGGTAACAAAATTGTCTAGTTCTGGGAACAAGACTTGTCTTGTCACAATTTTCGGAAGAAATTAAAATTGCAAAAAAAATGTCACAAATTCATATGAATTGCACGATTTGTATGAAAATATAGTTGTTCTCTACTTCCTCCACTCCTCTTACACCGGAATCACCCCATCCGACCGTTCAAATTTTACCGACCTGATCGGAATTTGAACGCGGGACCTTCGGGTAACGGACCGAGTGTCCTACTGACCGAGCTACCCAGACTTGGTATATCGGGGTCCGAATTTTAAGTATAAGTACAGCCCACAGAATTACTTTTCCATTTTGTTGCTATCTCAAGTCTGTAGAATGCGTAGAGCGTCAGATTGTTTGGTTTTTTTCTTTTCTACCATTTACTGTTTACGAAAATGGAATTTACATTCTACATCGGATAAAAATGGACAATTTAGGCCGAAAAATGTGTTTCTTCAAGCAACGATGTTTCCTTCGTTCCGTGTTTATGATTATAATTTTTATTTTTATTTTATATCATGATAATAATTAATAATATGTAAAAAATCAAACGTTAAAACATATTTATATAATTAGATACATTTGATTTTAAAACCTTACGCATGAGCGATTTATTTTTAAAAAAGAATTATAAACTTATTGTTTTTACCTTTTCACTAAACATCCAGAAAAATTTTCGAGGAAAAATTATTAAGCGTAGTTCTTAATATACTCTCTCAAAATATATAAAATAATACTCTCTCTTTGAATTTGACCATTACTCGCAATGAGTAGATAATCTTGTCACAGTGACAAGACTATCGAGTCCGGTGGCTCATTGTCAGAAACGTATCATATAAAACAAGACTGGTCTTGTTGCATTAACAAACGGGTGTCGTTTCCCAAACAAATTGAGTTGTTTGGCAGACTAAAAGTCTTGTTCCTGAGACAAGGCAGGTTTAACAAGTTTATCTTGTCTCTACGGCTCTACTATTTTTTTCAGTGAAGATCAATGCTTGCAAGAGCAGGATATTTCTAATGACGGACAGCCAATGATAGCCTAAATTTTTTGGGGGACCACAAGTTATCAATCTGAGGCATAAAAATACACCCGTGGATCTCCTGTTTACGAGGTGGAAAATAAAAATAATTCGTACAGGGTCCCTGCACTTCTTAAAACCGAAACTCGTTTCAGACCTTAGGAGGTTAGAACTTGAGTTCCATCGCTTTAATTTAAACGTTAAAACGTAACTAATGACCCAAAAACTGAAATGGCATGACATGAAAGAAGTTGAAAAAGTAGTAGAAGAATTTTCAATTTGACTTTCGTAGTGGATACAGACCTTTGTCGATAACGTCAATCTTGGGGGAGATGCCTGCTGCTAAAAGAAAGCTTTTGGGTTTTAAGGCTTCGCTCAGTTGCTTCATCAACTCGCCGTATCCGGTTCTCTCGTCGACACTGCCTTTTGTGCAGTCAGATCCCTGAAACAAGCCAGGTATCCCTTAAAAATAAAGCTCCAGCAACGAAAAGGACCACTGAATGAGTACCTATCATACCACACAAGTTTGTTAACCCAAACGACAATGGAGGGGCTTGGAGGACAAGGCACATAAGAGCAGTTATCGAAAAATTGAGATATTAATAATTTCAAGTAAAACCTTTCGCAATGCATATTCTGTGAAAAATTCCCTCCCAAGTTCCAATTTTTAAGCATCAAAAAGTCACTTTGAACTCTTTTCCGCCACAAGGATCCACGTAATTTCGAAACTTCAAACACGCATTTCTCGAAATAGCAAAAACTGCCACACTACATGCCCCTAAGCTTTTTCTTCAAGCCCCTCATATATTTCTCCAAGTGCAATCGAGTCAGCTGAGAATATTTATCAGAGTGTGAATGAGGTGACAGTTTGAATAAAAAACAAGCGGGAAAGTTCTAATACTGTCGTATTAGAAAAGCGCTCAGGTGTTATTCAATGTATTTAGTGAAGAAAGAAAGTATAAACTCCGTCGACTTGGCTGGGTAATGGAAATAAAACATCAGCTGATAGCAAACAAAGGTTACCAAGGAAACCTTAAACGCGTTTTTTCGTTTCCCGAAAATGATAGTCACCGTTGAGCTCATCAGGTGCGTTTTTTTTAGGCTTCATTTGAGTTCAACGATCAATTTCGATAAGAATTACTCGACCGCTAAGAAATTTTCTTATAGACAAACGATCGAAACTACCTGCGCATTACGTTAAAAGCGTAAAATACGGTTTTCACAGCTTTATTTATTTTAAAACTGGACCCCCCCCCCCCAAAAAGCCTACACATCGATGAGCTGGTGCGCCATTTAAACGAATTAGCACAAGTATACTAGTACTCTAGAGGCAAGTCGAAATCAAAAAGCGCTGCCTATCGGCTGAGCGCTTAATTGTACTCTCTACATCGTTTCCTGAACTTAAGAAAAGGGAAATGTTCTTATTTCATAACTGACATTCGGCAACACCGAAACCGAGGAATGACACGAGAACCGCGTCATCGTTCGTTCCGACAACGATTTTGATACTCGTAAAAGAGTACCTATGGACTCTTGATATCACATGGGTACAATGTATCATACGTCCTGCAGGCTGATTATTTTCCGCGTCGATATCCGAGTCGATAAGTTAGCGATTCACAGATAACGACTGAATTCTAACGACGTCCTTTAGCAGAGCGATTATTTACTTCGAATTCCGCTGATCGTTACTCGTCGTTCGATAACTTAGCGTCGTTAAGTTAGCGATCTGGATCCCAACGTTGCCGACGTGAGAGATAATAATCAACCAATCAGAGAGCGTTTATGATACAAGCAGCGCTCCAACTGGGCGGCGGCGTAAGTTGAAAACAACACTTCTCTTTTCTTCACGTCACGCGGGTATGTTTTTAGGTTAGGTTAGCTTGCCGAGAATCGTTAGCTTAGAGGTTGCCGTAGAGCAACCTTTAACTTATCGACGGACTCAAATATCCCGCCAGGGTTTAATGATCGGCGCGGAGTGAAATAATCGCTCGATTATACTTTTGCCGCTGACGACGGCGTTAACGTAACGATTTCAAAACTACAAAAACCCTCAAAAACATTTTTCGGGCAAAAAATCCGGTCGAGGAAATTGACGTGTCACTTCCTTTTAATTAAGTATAAGATAGGCAAAAACCTTTGATGAATTCCCAAAGTCCACTAAGAATAATCTATCAAAAATGTCCAAAAACTTACTCGAAAGGAAAAAATTAAAATGAAAAATACAAAAACAAACACAAAAAAACCTTGCCAAAAGCAAACAAAAAACCGATTTTGAGATAAATCCCTCGAATGAACTTGAAATCACAAAATCGGTCGAGGATGTCAACTGAAATTTTCCCCCCTTCAATTATGAGCTCTGCAACAAGCGTGACTCGCTTGAACCTTTTCATACACGAGCCGCACGAATTCAGCTCTTCTTCTCTCCTCTCCTTCCGTCCATGGACAGAGGTCCAAAATTTTTCGGATTTACTGACGCGACCGGCTGCGG